CCTCTGAGCATAGTTCTTGGCTTCTGGTAGCCAAAAACCATGCACCACGGACCCCTCTAGGTGCACTCCCCAGCCGCTGGCGCTCGCATCCATTGCAACTTTCCTGGAGATGGGTAAAACCCATAACAGGCCTTGAGCCATGTTGGCTGACCTCCTCCACCACCAGAGGGTCCTCTTCAACTGGGGGGTACCTGTACCAAGGAGTCCAAACTCCTGCCAGCAATCCCAGACATCCAGAGTGAACAGAATGGGGGGGGGGGGGGGGGGGGGGGGGGGGGGGGGGGGGGGGGGGGCGCAAATGCAAACCTGCCCAATGTAGCGCCAGGATGGACAAGGTTAGCAAGCCCAACACTGACATGGACTCTTTTAGGGACACGGCCTGATTCTCCTGTCCAACTTTAGAATTTTCTCCTGGGGTAGGAAGGTTTTCTGAAGGTTGGAATCCAGCTCGTAGCCCAGGTACACCATCCTTTGGGCCGGGACCAAATTTGACTTGGCTAAGTTTATTAGCCAGCCTAAACTCTCCAGGTGTCTCATCACCAAGGTTATGTACCATGTCAGCTGTTTCTCTGAGTCTGCAAATATTAGATCGTCCAGGTAAGTCCACCAGCGAGACTCCCCTTAGACGAAGTGACAACAGGGCCTGGGCCATGATTTTGGTGAAAATCCTGGGCGAGGAGGAAAGCCTAAAGGCCAAGGCACAGCCAAAGCCAAAGGTGAATTCCCCTAGGGCCCCGTACTGCCAACCTGAGGAATTTCTGAAAGACATCTGCAATTGGTACATGTAGGTAGGTGTCCCTTAGGTCTATTGAGACCAGAAAGCAGATGTGGGGGAGAGACCTGACCGAAAAATTGAATGCATACGGAATCTTATATTTTATGGTCTCGTTCAAGAGCCTGAGGTTCATGAGTCTGTACTTCCCTGAGGGCCTTCTGACCACAAAGACGTGGGAATAAAAACCCTCGCCAATCTCTGCGGAGGGGACCCTGACAACGACCCTCTGCTCTCCCAACTCCTGCAATGAATAGAGCAAGCCCGAGGCCTTCTCTGCACATCTTGGGAGCTCCGTCACAAACAACCTCTGTGGTGGCAGTGTCCGAAATTCCAGGTGGTACCCTATTCTCGGGACAAAGGGACTGGATGACACCGCTTCCCATTGTGAAAGACCCCCAATCTTCCTCCCACCAGGGGGAAAACAACCCTTGCGATTTTTGGAACTGCTCAGGATGGAGAATCCCTCCTCCCCTGCCCCTTCCTTTTTGCCCCCAGGGCCTTTTCTGTACCTCTGGCCTAATGACCTGTACCTGCTTCGGACTAAATTGCCCCCAGGAGCTTTTTCTGAAAAGACCTATTTTCTGCAGCGAGATCCAGCACCGTCTCAGGACCCGGACCAAAAAAGAAGGTCCCGTGAATGGGATGCCAGAGTTTAACCTTGGAGGCGGTGTCCCCCTGCCATGTCTTAAGCCCAGATGATTCTGCGGGCTGAGTTAGGGCCGCTGACCTCCTTACTGACTCCGTTGAGGGGTCTGCAATATAGCCCACCCCCTGTAGTAAGGTCTGGCAGGATGCTAACATCTTGTCCTTTGGGGATCCTGCCACAATATGGGCCTGTAGCTGTGCGAGCCAGTATTCCATGTTCCAAGTTACCACTGTAGTGGCCATGGCAGGTTTTAGGTTGGATAGTGTGGAATCCCAGGACTTTTTAAGAAGGAAATCCACCCTTCTGTCCATGGTGTCAGATAAGACCCCCATGTCCTAAAGGGCAAGATACATTTTCCTGGCTACCCGTGAGAATGCCGCATCCAGCTTGGGGCTTTTATTCCAAACTGCGGACAAATCCTTGCCAAATGGGAATCTGCATTTGAGAGATTTAGCAAAGAAAGGCTCTCTCCAGATCCTGACACTCCCTCTTTATAAATTCTATTACCACCTTGTGGACTGGGAAGACTATGCTTTTGTTACTCCATACCAATACATCTGATCATACACGAGAGGATTCCTATCTTCTAATCCCCAAGGTGGCATAAATGGCTCCCAGCAAGTCATCAACCTCCTCCACAGACAACATATCTAGAGGCGCCTCTGAATTCACTCAAGGGTCCCTCCCATTCAGTCTGCCTGGGAAGCCGAGTCTGGGGATGGATCCCCCTCCAACTCTGTTCTCAGACACCCCACCTCCCTACTGGTTGCTGGGGAACCCTTGATTAGTTTGGGGGGAGAGGAGTGAGCTGTGTCTGGAGCAGAGAAATTCTTGATCAGATACCTAAAAGGAATCAAAAAAGTAGCTCTCAGTTCCCTGACTTGACCAGCTCCCCACACATCACCTTGATCCAGGAATTTTTGAAGATTACCCTGCATGAGGGACACTTTTTGGCCCCGTGATGTTGATTCACCCTGGCTTTCGCCTGAAAATAGCACAGAAACGGGGCTGCCATTAATAGATGAGGCTGCCACCCCATGGCCTCTGGCAGGGTGTGGGAATCTTCCAAGCCGAGACCCCCTCCCCTAGTCCCTCCAAACACCAGGAGAGCTGAGGACACCCCTGGAGCTAGGGGCCAATCAGATGGGGGGGGGGGACCTCCTTTGAGCCACTTGAGACTGGCTGGTGCCAGCATTATTTGGTCCTGCCACCTGTTCCAGACATGGTCCAAGGTGGTGGTCTGCTTTGAGGTCCTGCATAGCCTGCCTCTGCTGGACACAGCCCTCTGCACCAGCCACACTCCAGTCCATGTTTCAAGGGATAAGGCTGGAAGTCCTGCCCCTCCACTGGAATTGACATCACCCAGCCCAGGCAGATCCATTTGCTGGCACATTGTTAGGGAGCGGTACATCTCCCTAGGTTCCCATGGGAAAGGAAAAGTGGATCCCCGATCCTCCCCCAGTGGATGCTGGAGAAACACAGATTAGGTACACCCCTTGTGCAACCTGGAGGAGCTTCCGAGACAGCATCTCCCCACCAGAGGTAACACAATTAGTGAGGTCAGTGTGCTTTTAATCTGGGTGGTTTCCTCAGGTGGGGAAGAGCCAAAGTCTCTCAAAAAGGTGCAGTCCTGAAAGACTGGAAGGGGAAAAGGTACTATTGGGTGTAATGGTAATCCCAAATCAAATATTGTATCTACATGTTTCAATAAGCCTAAAATAGGGCACAAAGAAGGCATGGTCAGAGAAATGTTTCATAAGCTCCAAGGAGCAGGGCCCTCCTATCCCACTTGTACTGAACTGTATTGTTGCTTTTGTCTCTCCTGTTATATTGAAAAGCGCTGAGCAAACTGTTGGTGCTAAATAAATCCTGTATCATAATAAGCCTTCAGCAGTTCACCTAAACTTCTGCAGCTGCCATCAGCTACAGGGCTTTAATGAAGGGTTAGGACTGGGTGTAAACTTGTCTGAGGTATACACAGCAATCTGGATTGAGACTGTCATGTATCAAAGTCCTAGTGGCAAAAGGGCAGGATGAAGAGCCCAAAGTACCTTCCAAACTATTGTGAAGTTACAAAAAGTAACAGATTACGCCAAAACAAAAAAGGTCATTGTTCAGACATTGTTCAGACATCGTGCCGACTGTCTCCTAACTGTGCTCCTATACATTGTCATGTGCACCCATGGAGACCAGCAGCTGCACTTACAATGCACAGGCATGTACCACCATTGTAAAAAGCCAGTCCAGACCAGTTAAGTGCAGTCAATATTTGCATCTGTTGCTACAGCTTTAGCAAAGTTATCCAGTTCAGCTATACTTCTATTGCCAACTGTTTGTAAGGGAGGTGAAAACATTCTACCATGTTGACACATCTCCCATGTGTCCATTTCAACATTGTATTTCAAATTCTTCTAGCCTACTTATTTGGGTCCCCTTTCACATGAGCAGACCAAAAATCGGGTCTACCTGTCCATTTCAGGCAGACTCAGACCCTCTTCTGGATTATTGGGTGTAAAAGTAGACGTGTACAGACACCCAAATGTATGGAGATCCATTTCCATCTAGCAGATCAGATGCCAGTCAGCTGTAAACAGACAAGCGATCTGTTTACATCCAGCCTCCCATAGAGGAGAGTGGGACCATGTCTGTATCAGCTCCATGTAAAAAAAAGGAGAGTGGACCAACCATCTGCCTGCTTAGATTAATTCCCTCGAGCAAGTGGACTCCTGGCAGTCTGGCCCATGTGCAATGGGCCTTAATCTGACGATCTCAAAGTTTGTAAGCTTACTTTGTGTTGGGAATTCAAAGTAGTAGTAATGTTTCTTCACATTCAAAGTGCCTGTGATTAGTCACAGAATTCAGAGTCTGCCATCTGAAATACAGAGTTGCTGACATCAGAAGTTACAGGCAGAATCCATAGAGGATTCACTGCTTGCAGCCAGCAAGGTACTATGGAATATGTAGTCCTTGGAAATACAAAAGTTGAAAAAAACACGACAGGAAAAACTGTAAAGCATGCAGGGAATCTAAGTAGCATTAAAAAGGATCATTTTCAAGTAGGTCTATACTGGGGGGATGGTCAAAACACATGTATTGCCATAATATTCTGGTATGCAGTGATTTCACACCCTTTAAGAATTAAGCCAGCAAACAGTTCGAGTTTAGATTTATTTGTTATCTTTGAGACACGGCCATCTAAGTAGCAACCAAAATAGAAAAGTAAAAAAAAAAATAAGCTTACACTGCCACGTTACTTGGTGTCACAAACTACAATAAACACTAACTCTGTCCAACATTATACAAATACATTCCAAGACTTCACAGCATTTTCAGGTTAAAATACTAGGACCTAGCATGGTGACAGAAAATAAAATGGCATTTTATCAGTTTGCCCTGATAAACCCAACAGCTAAAAATCACAAAATAAATGTTATGAATATGCAAAGAAAAATACATAAAGAAAGCGTTTTTCAAAACAGAACTTTCAAATGGTTTCCCCAGGAGCATAGATTGAGAGAGGATGGCACAACAGTTTAAAAAGGATGGATCTAAGGTCTGCAAATTGATATGTAAATGTATCTAATTTTCATCAGTTGAGGTCAATGGATCAGCAGTGAAGTCTTCTTCATTGTCTGCTGCAGCTTCCCCAGTGTTGGCTGCATCACTCTCTGGTACAGTAGCAGCAGCTTCAGCATCCTCAGTAACCGTTTCTTGAGCAGCTTCTTCAACATGAGTTTCAAATGGATTTTCACCCTTCAGGATTAAAAAAATTTTTTAAAAAAATTGGGACGGTTATAGAACATTGATGGCATGTTTTTCATAGGAGAGTCAGTTTTACCTGATCTTATTTGGCACAGTTGTTTCTAAACCACCCAGCTGCCACTATATCACAAGGCACCCCCAAGCATCCTAGCCCCAAACAAGCACCAGGGAGGTATAGAAGATTGAATTAGGTTCTTGAAAACATTTCAGAAATTACTTTAAACCAACTGGCAATTGCACAGTCATGCAACACACCCAAAATGAAGTTTATGCCCCCCCAAAGCTCTTTGGGTGGCAATTGATCATCTCTGCATTTGTGCTATAAAAACAAGACTGACAAAAACGGTGTCACTGGGGATGTCAGTGACAGTCCTACCAATAGTGATCAGTGCTATAAAAAAAAAAAAAAAAAAAAAAAAAACACACATGACAACTGTACTAATGGCACTGGGCAGGAAGGGGTTAACATGTGGGGCAATCAAAGGGTTAACTGCATGCTGCACACTGCTTTGTAAGGCAAAAGCAGTGTGCCGGAGCTGACAGGAGAGATCTGTGTTTATACAGAAGTCTCTCCCCCCATTGGTAATACTCTGGAGATGACTGGGTGGCAGCAGGAAGTCGCAGGAAACTTCAGACAACCCATTTTGTAGCTTCAGCTGTACCGAACACCCCCCCTTTGCTTTCCCCATAACCAGCCACAAATATGAAATATCTGAAAAAAAAAAAAAAATGCTTTGGCAAATGTTTTACCTGTAGCTGGGCAAGCATGTTTGTTACATAGAACTTAATTGTTATACTATGCAATATACCTATGAGAGCAAAGATTCTTGCCTCAAGCCCAAGTTACCATGCAGACTTAAAGTCTGTGTGTAACTTAACATTTGAATGCGACATGCATTTACCCCAAAGGCAACACAGCATGGTACCATGGGGTTTGGTGGGCAGCTTTGCTAAAAAGGGCATGTTTACTGGTGCATTAGATGGCAGGCTGCACACAAATAAAGTTGCGCTGCCTTTTCCAAACTTTCAAATGTAGCACAGACATAAGTGTCTCTAGAAATGTTAACTTACCTTCAAATAGAGTTCATATCTTGCCTTTACAAGTGGGTTGTTCAATATGCTTGTTGCAGTCAAGATGCTTTCTCTCTTTATCTGATCTTTGTAAGCCTGGGGAGGAGCAGAAACGTTTTAAATGTGAATATCAGTTGCAAACTACATTTGTAAACCTGAATGAACTTATTTGCTTGTCTTTGTGTACTTGCAGAAGGATAAAATATGCATGTAGCCTTTTAACCACTTTCCATCCAGGATACATACACACCCCCTGGGCAAGAAGCAGTTAGAGTAGGATCATGGTTGCAGCTATGTTCGTGTCAATTTTAGAGCCAGGGACTGGTTTTCAAGTAAAAGTGATCTGACCGGCTCTAGAGCTGCCCAACTTAGGGCTAGAATGGGAGAAAAAAAAAAAAAAAAAAAAAACCGCCAGAGTAGAAACCTGGCCCTTTATGGTACTTAGCGCCAGCTTAACACCTTGTTGCAGAAAAGACAATTCTAGCCACCGAACAACAGAGTATAAACCCCTGCAGTGTCACACCTGAAAATATATGCCTTCCAGGTGCAATGGTATATCTTCCTGGAAGTAAATTTCAGTGTCTTCAACATGGCAGGAATCACCAACTGAGACCAGTCTCTCAGAACTGGTCTTTTAATAGGCAGTGGCCATAAAGCGGGATGGGGGAAAAAAAAAAAAAAAAAAAAAAAACCAGACCTTGGGACAGGTCTGCCCTGAGCGGTAGACGCCAAGGAATGTCCACAACCAGCCGCACTATGTTGGCATACCAAGGCCAATCCAGAACCAAGATGACCAGAATGCCTTTGGCCTCTATCCTTTGCAGACACCAGGGTAGAAACTTGGCAGGAAAAAAAAAAAAAAAATGAATTGAGAAGCAGATACTGGCTCCATGAAGCCAGCAGAGCATCCACAGCATCTGCAAGCAGGTCCCTCATCCTAGCCATGAATCTCAGCACCTTCCTGTTGAACCAAAATGACAGGAGATCCACATCTGGAGGGCACACCAGAAGGAAATCTGATGACTTTTCTGGAAGCAGGGACCACTTGGCATGCTGGTAAATGACTGCCCACCTTGTTGGCCAAGGTAGCACTGCAACGCAGATGTTCGGAGCCAGGTCATATGCACCACTGGAAAGCTTGACTGCCACCCTGGTGGTCCACCCAGTGCTTGGCTAGGATCTGCACACTCTTGCTGACCAGGCTGGGGTGACCACTGGATCTATATTTAGCCTGACTGTTCTCTCAGGGGGGGGGGGAACCCCACACAAACACTGGAATGCCTATGCAGAGAGGGGGGTTTATATCAGCCAGGACTGCCCATAGGCAGTGCAAAGTTTCTTCACCTAATGTCCTACTCCTGTAGGTGGTTGTACAACCCTAAAGGTAGAGAATGGAGGACGCTGTGTCCATCAATTAATGAAAGAATAAGTTTTTAAAAAAAATTAAGCACCCCCAAACCCCATGCTCAGGCAAACAGGTCCCGTAAGGATATGTAAAAACATCAACTGCACAACACATGAGATATTGACAGTGAGCAATTCTAGCACCAGAGCTCATTTAACTCTAAACTGATAACCTGCAAAGGGCTTAAAGCATCACCTACGGCTAATGTCAGGTACTGTAGTTTGTCACCATTTCAGAGGCATGTCAAATTTCATTCTGTTTGGTATTTACGTGGCACAACATTTTTAGATTTTACAAAACATTTAGTATTGCACATTTTCAGGTAGAAACTGAACTTTATCAAATGAGTTTGTTTACTAATATGCTAATAGTGTGTGACAGCTGCAACAGCCACCACTTTATCCTCTAGAGCCTGTGCTTTCAGAATATGTTTAGGGGGTTGTAAAGTTCTAGAAAAAAAAAAAAAAAAAAAAAGCTGATAAAAAAAAGTCAACTGTCCAGGACACATGGTTATGACAAAAGAGAGACAAAAAAAAAAATTGGGAAGGAAATTGCAGAAATATATACAGGCTGTTAAAAGCCATTAAACTACACACCATTTACTTAGAGGACCTCAGCCATTACATATTGTATATAATTTGGATTTAAGGTTTAAAATGCATAGCAAGGTCCTGCTTAACTAAAAGCCAGTGTTTACATCAACTGACTATGTTCACATTTTAACCAGTTTTTATTCTCTATATAAGCCGCTAGAGGGAGCCCTTCAATTTACTTTGCCTTAAAACGGTTGAGGAAAGATAGGTACACAAAAGTTAATCATTTTCAGTCAGCCAATTGAGAACACTTTGTATGGACCTGTAAAAAGCACAAAATGTGTACTACTGCAAAAGCAGAATAAAAAAAAAAATAGCATTTCAGCAAAAATTCCTGACAAGCACTGCACTAAAAATGATGAAAGGAACTACAAAACTATTCAGCCATCTCATTTTTCATCTTTGCATTGGGCTACAAGTTGTAGCTAGGATGCATACCCAAATGTCAGATTATGAATCAGATATTGTGCTAGGCATTGAACAAAGTTAAAAATTAAGCCCAGAGATGTGGTAGTTTCATCATGACTGATGCTAGGGAACTGGACAAAAGTATGTCTTACCAGCTTGCTCTTTGAGTGATCAGCAGATTTCAGGTGCAGCTGCACAGAGCTGTGTAAAGCAGGAACATACACACTGCAGGCACTGCAGTGTACAGTTTCAACTTTCATCATGTGATCATCTGGAGTAACACCTAAAAAAAACCCCAGACAAACATTAGCTTACATAAATCATGGCAATTAGATTAACAAATTTACATTTAAATATACTGGCACTATGCAAAACACCATTTACATTCTTCCTTCCAGTGCATGTCTGGAACGGAATTGCACTTGGTAGTGTCGGTCACCCCTATGTACTGGAGTAATCTAAAGTATTAAATACATTAGATAACTATTTCATAGTTTGGAGGTTTTAGTAATCTTCCCAACATATACAGAAGTCAAAAATTGATTTGAAGAGTAAAGACTAGTGGTAATCAACTTATGAGCTAAAGGGAGCCTAAAATCTTGACAGACAACAAAAGGGCCACACAAAAATGTTAATATGTAAATACTTAAGACTGCTGCCTAACCCTCATTTCCTCTTAGGTCTGCAGTTTGACTGGTGATATGCTGCAGGCAATATGAAACTAGGAACAGGTTACATGAGGCTGGCAAGACTAGTGCCATTACCCTACTAAATGTTCCCAATACAAACTGCTGAGGGCCACACACCATGGCTTCATGCAGCCCTCAGGCTGGGCACCAAGGGTGGGGACTTTATGGACAGTAAGTAGTGAACAATTTTGACTGCATCTAGTTGTTGGGATTGTGGCTTTGGTAAGAAAAGCAAGATGCATTCAAATTTGTAGGTTTACATCTCAGGTTATTTTTTGGGATGACTTTACACACAGAAAACCAAATTTTATATTAAACATGAATGGGCGAGTATTAGTGCATGTAGACCAAGAAGTATATTCAGAAAAAAGGAATGGGAATGTAATAAGTGCGGGGGGGTTGTAACAAAGGCAAAAAGCCTGGATGGGGTAGAGTGAATTAGACACCGGCAGATTTTACAGTACACTATTGTAGTTTTAAAGTTAAATTGTGAATTCAAGATTAGGATTTGCACCACAAACATGTAGAATATCTACCAATTCTAAATTTATACAAAAAGTGTGTGGTTGGGGTTTTGGTATTTATCCTGCACACCACAATTTCTTCCCTGCTCATTGGTCATCTCATGAGCATCTCCATAAAAAAAAAAAAAAAAAAAAAAAAAGACCCCATTCATTCCATTATGAATGATGTATTACCCTAGGTTCACACCTATAAATGTTTTCTGCAGCGTTTTGCAGAAATGCAGTACAGACCATTTAACATGATTTCCTATTGGACATGTTCACATCTGTGCGTTTAGGAAAGGGTCAGGGACTTTTGAATGCAAAATGTTGCATTTTTGGTTCTATAGACTTCAACGGAAATGCTGCAGAAAAGCATGCATTGCGTTTTTACTGCATTTTAAATGACAAAAAAAAAAAAAAAAATGCAGGTGCAAAAACGCAATACAATCACTGCTCAAATGCCACTTGCATGGGTATGAACCTAGCCTAAAGGCCAAAATCCTAGGAGTAACAGTCATGTCTCCAATATGTGGTTTGTACACATGTGCCAGAGAAATGGACGCTATAGACACAAATTTGTTTGAAGGAAAAGAATTATGGTCCAAAGAAATATTCTGCTTTTTTTGGTACAAATTCAGTTATACATTCATGAACAAAAACCACTGTCTGCTGTATTTGTTACACGGGAAAAAATACCAGCCACATACCTTCCATAATATCTTTCTCGGGAGCTTTTGCAGCTTCATTTTGATTATTGGTTGGGGTTGGAGTTTCCGCAGGAGTTTGCGTTGGAGTTGTTGGTGATGTTGTTGTTGTTGTTTGATTCTGGGTGGCCTGAGCTTTACGTGCAGCAGTTTTCTTATACTTGTTAACGATGCATTCCTAAAAAGAACAATGTGATGGAGTTTAAATATATAGGTAAAATTTGAGGGAGAAACTCATTTGAGATATTAATAGATAATACAAAAATGTATAAAATTTAATATGAGTGATAAGGTAATGCTTTATTAAATCAGTTATTTTGGTGCTTTACAAAAAGCATAGGACTACATACAGTTAGGCTGTGCAGGCAAAGATCCAATTTTAGGACAGCTATGATTTTTCAGTTAACATCCATACACCAGGTTACACTGATATTGAAGATGTGGCAGGGTGCCACTTCCTAATAAGAATGCAATGCTTTGACTGCATTTGCAATGCTTTGCAGGCTCCTATGCAAAATACTTCCGGACTCATGGTCAAATGTTAAGACAGGGGGTTCTGATGCTATGTAAAGGTTGGACAGGACACAACTCCTTCCCTTTGCAGCCCCTGTAGGAAAGATTCACTTACATGCAAAAACTCCATAACAGGCTTGTCAAATTTGGTTTGTTTTTGGATATGATCAAGCATCTCCTGATGAGCTTCACTGGCCAAGTGATCCTCAATACCCTTTTCTTCAAATGATCTGAACTTGCAGAATGAGCAGGTAAAGGCCATTCTGAAAATAAGAGATTAGTTAACATTGTTCAATTACAAAGAAGACTTTCAAAAGAAACATCAAGTCTACTATTAAAACATCCCAACCCCTGCAGGCTCCTGACTGTCAGACAAGCCTAGTTGCCCTGGTTTACATATATGCGATTTGTAATAAGTTGTGCATAGCATAGCAGATGGCTCTGGGAACTGCATGTGTTCCTTTGGAGAGTGTTCACATGTGTGGCTGATTTGCAGTGAGTTTGCTGAAAAAGGGTCTTGTGCGATGCAAATCTGTGTTCTATGTGCTCTGATCGAGATCAATAGGAAACTGTCAGAAGCAGGGCTGTGGAGTCTGGGTCAATTTTGGGTACCTGGAGTCGGAGTCGGCAAACAATGCTCCGACTCCGATTAAATTTAGATTGGAATTAAAAAAGAAAAGCAAGTTTAATGTCCCAATTCACAAAAAGTTATAATTAATGACTTCTCTACTGTAAGAATAAAGACCAATGCATGCAGTGCCTCACATAACCGCACAACGAACACATTAAGTGACCGTGAAGAAGCATGCTTTTCATGTGCTTCACTATAATGGCATGCAACGCACAATTAGGAGCGGCAATACTTATACTTTCCATAGTGTTGTGTTCTGCTGTTACAGGGAACGCAGCATGCCTGCTGCTACTATCCAGCCACTTGATTTAATAAAAAAAATTTTTATAAAACTGTTTTCATTGTGTTTGTCTTTTGCTTAAACTGTTCAATACAGTAGACTGTTGGCTTCCCAGCCAGTAGTCCTGTGGTAATGACATGTATGTTGCCTTTCTTTCCTTCAAGGAATGTATAATACATTCGCATATTAATACAGAGGAGTCGGGGGTACACAAAACTGAGGAGTCGGAACATTTATCTACCGACTCCACAGCCCTGGTCAGAAGGGAAAGCCTGTGTGTTTAGATTTCCCTGCAACTATAGAGATAAAATGGGAATGTGAAGAGAAAAAAAAAAAAAAAAAAAAAAGTCAAAACTGCACTGCCAATTACAAACGCATGAGTCACACTACAAAGTCAGAGCTTTCGCAATGCATATATATGAACCAGGGATAAAAGGGACAAAAACACTTATACAGGATAGTGCGAGTAGTCTAGATGACCTCAGAGCTCCAACATGCATCTTAGACTAACCTGGAGTGTTAAGGCAATGAAGTCAAACTAGAATCCTATCCCTGTCGTGTTAAATAAACATGGCTAGTGTTTATGTCCCTTTTACAAAGCCAGCATTTATTTTAAAGGGGAAAAGCTTAAAACCATGTGTGCCATACGAAAGCCAATGGTTACAAAGTGATCAATGCTATCCAAAGTAGCATGATTTACTGAAAAACGCAAGAGTCATTCCCTCAAGTGAAACTCCTTTGTTCTCTTCAAAAAGATACGGCTTCCAGAAAACACCTAGATGTATCAGATGCAGACGGTTCTGCTGGACACCACAGCATGAAGAGAGCAAATTGAGACAGCATCAGTCACCATCGCAGAATGAAGAGTTCGCTTCTGCAGGCATTTTAAAGCAACTGTCACTTGGAGAATTACACTTGCAAAAGATTTTCCCCACTAAAATAAATACTGGTAGCCCAAGTAGTAAAGGCAGACCTGTACCCATCTCCGTATTTTTCACTGTTCTTCTCTCTTCTACGCCTCTGTTTCTCCCTTCTTGCCTCTGTGCGGCGCTTCTCCTCCTCTTCTGGATCAACTGGCTCTGCTGCACAAGAATAATTTTGCAATCAGAATATGCAGTCTGCCAGCCGAGATTCAAGCACTATGGCCCAAACCACTAGTAATATGCCATACTGTACATACAAAAAAATTGCATGTATGTTCTAAGGGACAATTCACAATGGAATGTGCTCATTTCAGTTCTAACAGCCCATTAATTTGAAAAGGTTTCCAAATGCACAGGAACCTCAAATCACAACACCAAAATGCATGGTGCTACTGTACCATGTTAGAAGGCCAAACACTGTTTGCAAAATGTGTTTGAGGTGCCTTCAATAATGGCACCCACACACATCTCGCAAGGGTAGCATGTTTGTGCCGGAAATACAAGGGACACCTTTCATGCACTGTGAAGCAGCCCTAAGGCATGGTTACGCAATTCACAAGACAAGTATACAAGAAAAAAATGCATACAGTAAAGCACATACCTGGTGCAGGAGCAGGTTTGGTGGTTTGGTTTGCTCCAGCTTTTGCCAGCTTTGGTTTTTTGCCAAAACCTACAGGAGCCTTGAATGGCTGAGCCATCTTCCTCTTAATTCCTCTTGCCATTCCACCAGACAAAGGCTGGGGGGCATAGTCCATACCAGGCCTGCGCATACCACGAGCAAGCTGTAGAAAAGCAGGCAATTAAGTTAGTACATGAGCAACTGTGTTCTTCTACTATCCCTTACTGTATCTGAGAAGGTTATATTGCCTTGTCATCTCAAAAACAGTAAAAGGGAATTCTATGTTTAATTAAGGTAGAATTTCCAAGAAAAGTAATTACAAATCAAAACATGCCCCAGAATATAACAAAATACATGACACATTACAGGTGTTTATTAAAGGTGCAATGCATTTTCCAAAACTAAAACTAACTAAAATCACAAGGGACTTTCCTGCCATTTACAAGAACAAAACCAGAAATAAAACCCCATCAGCTTATAGGAAAAAACCCACAGAAAAAAAACCAAAAAGCATGCAAAATGTAAAGCCTTACAAAATGTAAGCATACTGTTTCAAGCTGTATTAAACTCAAATATATTGCAGTTTAACAATTGGATGTGTTTGCAGCATTAACTTTTTTTAGGCTCCCTCCCCCCTCTATTTTCACCTGGTGATTTGGCCAGTAACTTTATATTGGACTGCCTACACTCAAGAAAGAAGTTTGGACAAAATCACTGTCAGATTTTGGGGGGGGGGGGTTCAGATTCAGATATGACAAACTGAAGTCTTTTGGTAAAAAAAAACAATAAAAAAAAAAAAGTTAACAAGCTTCATGATCCAACTTTTAAGTACAATTGTTTTGTCTCAATCCTCAGGTACATCTGCAGGATGATTTGCTGGCTAGATCCCCAGGTGAAAAGGAAGTAAAGACTCAAAAGGACTAAATGCAGCCACCACATCTAAAAATTGGTAAGCTGCAATAAACAAAACAAAAAAAAAAAAACCTACATTTAAGCCAATTAAAGTGCCAACAATGGCACAAGTTACATGTACCAACAGTGGTACTTAGTCCTGTTAGGCAAGGGCCTAACATGATCTATATGGTTTCTATCCATAAGTCAAAACCCTATAAAAGCAAACATCTGAACAGGACTCCAAAGCCCCCCCCCCCCCCCCCCCCACAATATAGTTGGCACTGACCAATGCATAACAACAATCTGACAAAGTCTGGGTATTATGTCATCTCACAAACTGTTTCTTACCCAGGATTATTTGCATTCTAGCACCATGGAATGTCATGTTCCAATTTAGTCAGTTCCAACACACTAGAACCAGAGCCCAGACCTATGATAGTATTTAGATGTTGGGAACAATTACATACATCATGTTAACAGTCTAGGGTGTGTTTAACCCAACAGGTATATGGTTTTGGGCTACTCCCCAAAAGTCAATCTAGTCTGCTAGAGTTTCACATAATACATTGCACCTTTAACCTACTCAGAACTTCAAAAAGGTCTGTGTGTAACCTTTTGCAGATTTGTTTTTATTTAATCTATTATGAGATCAAGGAAGACTAGATATCCTTGTAGCCACAAAGCATGCTATATATATGGCCACAAAGCATGCTAATTATATGGTACTTCAATTTTTCTTTCACAAGAAAAGAATGTACCAAATACTCCCTGTGACTTTTAAAGCACATATTCTTTAAAAGTTAGCTTTTAGACTGGGAGTACACACAAGCCTCTAAGCAGATTTGCAATAAAGATGGACATTGTGCCATTTTAAAGTTCTGGGCTTGAAATCATTAAAAGTGACTATCAAAAAGAATCTGAAAAGATTCTATACTTACTCCTCCTCTGCCACGGCCTCTGCCTGCTGCTGGTCCTCCAAAAGCACCGTCGGGGTAAGCAGGCATTCCTCTTCCCCGAGAGCCTACTGCTGCAGGCTTCATATAGGGTGAAGAAAAACCGCCGTAGGAAGAGTAATTGTCTCTTCCTCTGTCCTCCATAAACCCAGTCCTCACTTTCGCTCGTGGGAAAGACGGATCCCAGTTGGACCCGCCCTGGTTTCTAGCATCAAAAGAGTCAACGCTATTCCGGTATGGGTTGTCATATCGGCCATCATAACTATCTCCGTAGCCTTGATCGGATTCATTATAACCATAGCCAGATCTGTACAGATCTCGCCCACCCACAGAAGACCTGGAGTCAAAAGACTCATAAGGTCCAAACCTGGAAGAATTGACGTGAGGAGAAAAAATAAATGTAAGCTTACTAGTTACACAAAGCAGAACAAAAAGCATCAGTTGACATTTATCAACTTTACAATAAATCTTAGACATACAATACTTAACCTCTGTCTTATGGTAGTTATTGATAAAATTATTCATACCAAAACTGGTAAAGATTCCTTCATTAAAATTAAGTGGTGTGCTAACAGTCAGCAAATTAAAAAGGGAATATCAAATTAGGTACATACTTTATCATAAGAGCTTTGAAATTAATGGACTTAATAGTGCATATTTTGACAGCCAAAGCAATTTTGTTGATAAGTTACCATGAAACACTAATGCTCAGTTTAATCATTTTAGAGGTAACTTAAGTGGCATTATAAATGTTTGGTTTAGAAGAAATGTAAGTGACTTCTTGCAAGAAGATTAAGTGCATCTAAAAGCAAATACTCAAGCTTTGGAGAGTGTGGAAGTGCTAAATCTGTCAGGTTTTTGTTGCTATGTGGACCAATGGGGAGGATTAATCCCTCTGGCTTAGTGACCATGGTTTAAGTTTTACAGTTGTCACCAGACCAAAAGAATAAATTTAATTTGAGACACCCATTTGGGTCACAACTGGAATTAAGGATTTCTTTAAAGACCAGAATAAGGAAATCCCTCAAATGGAACAGACTGGGGAAAGCTTGTGTTTAACCCTTCCGTACTCTAGCCAAAAAACTTTAGATGTGCTTTAGGCATCTTTCTTGCAATAAGACAGCATAAACATGCATTTACAGAATAAAAAGTAGAAACAATCTAAACAATGCAAATAAAAAGTATTGTGGTAACATTAAAGACAGCCAAAACATGGACAATTTCAAAGAAAGGACCAATTTAGGAAATCTGTTGCACAGGTTATATTAAAACTGCAAATCCAAATTAAATGCTTAGTTCTTAAATAATCCCATACTTCTACTTTAAAATGTTGGGTAAATGTAGAGTGCATACAAGTGAAGTCCCGTCATTCTCCAACTCATGCGGCTTCAACTGTTTCATTTTACATTTACCCAAAGAAAATCATCCTCTTGTTAACATAACATTTGCTACCCTAACACTAAAGTTGACCACACACGCTATACAATTAGTTTTCATATTCTCTTCCAGATTTGCCAAACTTTATAATTTAAGCAATAAGGACGTGCCTAAATCTATTCAGTTCGTGTAAACTTAGGCTGGCCCTGCATCACATACTTTATGGCAGATCTAAAAGGAGAATCAGCCTAACAAATAATTTAAAGTATAACTAAAAGGCAAAAAATTTTTTAGTTTTGGATAAAGTGGAGATTAGGATACCTGTGTTAATTGCAATCTGTGCCCCAGTTAGGAGACTAGCTCTTTGTCTTGTTTACCATTATTGTAAGTAAAAAGGCTAAAATGTTTGGTTGTCCCCAGAAAAAGTAATGGAGGGGAAATCTAGTTCTGCTGACCCGGGGGGGGGGGGGGGGGGGGGGGGGGGCTCTAATATGGGACACAAATGACAAAAGTGAGTGTCATAACCCTCCTTGGCTCGATTCAAAATGGACACAAGTTTTGACTATAGTTCTACTTAACACACTTCCCTACCAGCTGCTCTGGACTCCCTGAAGTTGGCAGCAGCATAAAACAGCTGTGATATGGAATATTCTGCTTCTGTTCAGGCAGAGTGGCTGCCTCTGACTGAACATCTTGGACAATAACCCATATAAAAAAAAAAAAAAAAAAAAAAAAAAAACATGGCCACAGCTAGGCTTGGGAGCAGGCTTTGTAAAGCCATCCTGGCCCTGTATGTGAGAGCTTTCCCCATTAGCAGGAGATCAGAGTACATAAATTAGGTAAAGGTATGCAAACAATCCCCAGTTTCTCAGTAATCCAAGTTTGTACTTAAATGAAAAGTGAGCCACCAAGATATCCACTGAAGGCCTGTACAGAACTTACACATCCCCTATTCAAAAATCTTTGTTATTTGCCCATCAGCACTTAAACAGCCCTGATGCCATTGACTTCTAGGGTAACAAGGCCCACAGCCAGTTACCTGCAGACCAACTTAACTGAAGTTCAAAGATCTGGCTTCACATGTGCCAGGAGAACAGGGACTGAAGAATTGGAAGACAGGCTGTGAAAGATCTGCAGTGAGCACAGTTTCAGAAAAGTACAAAATAAATGCTCTGCACAGGGAAGAGGCTGCTCTAGGGCACACTACATGTTATTTTAAGTTACTAAATGTATAACCAGTTTCATTACATATTTGATACAATCTAACTTGGATAAAGGCATTCAAGTGACCAACTGACCTAAAAGCTGGTCAATAACCACTTTCAGAATAGGCCATAACCCCATGAACATGGGTACTCCATATACAATGCCTCTCAGAAGAGCTTTTGCCACATACCCTTAAAAGTATACCATAGGAGGCTCAGTCCACTACACTGATGCAGGGAAGGTGTAAAGTGCTCAAGCCAATAAGGCATATAAAGTGAGCACACATGTTTTAGGGGGCCAAATAGTTTGGACCCAAAGTTGCTCTAGAAGCCTGCTTTTCTTGTGTAACATGGATACCTTTAAGTGACAAATCTAGCAATTTGGTTGAAAAATTGCTGAATATATGGTGTACAAGCAAGTCCATGAATTAAAACCATTTCAAACGGTTACATCATACAATTCATCTCTAACCACCCCAGATTGATTTACATGTTCCCACCCACCTAAACTAAAAAGGACATTGCTAACTGGGGTAAACACCTAACTGAATTCTCATCTGTATACCTGCAAATCACAAGTGCTGATAATCACATATGGGGCCACACTTACCTGTCACTGCCACTGTCCATGCCAAAGCTGTCCATACTTCGGTCATAGCTCCCATGACCATATTCACGGACTGCACCTGAAATCATTCATAGAAAAGACAAATTATCTGAGG